TCCTACTTCCGTAGTGATACTGCCTCGGAAACCCAAGGAGGGGTCGCTATGAGTCGGGTTTGACTCGACGGCACATAACAACAACAACATTATTTCTGAAAGAAGTAATAAAGTGCTATTGATATTTAATATTTTTCCCTATTTACAAAACTAAAAGAACGCTCTCTTCTTTGGATTTCCATATAATCTTACTACCACTGTTAATTTTTGGTTTTTCCTTCTAATTACAAGGAGTCTGTGAAGATACACATACTAAAACATCAAGACGTTCAATTTTTTTTTTTATAGAAGTATTACAGTGGCATATTTGGAGCCCATAAAATGTTGTTACCAGCAGAAACAACCTTCTCTTACACTTTTTAAAATGTATCATTGATTTTCTAAGTGCCATGTTTTATTAATGTATTATTGCAGTTCAGTCAATCAGTTTTGCAATGAACCACGAAGGAGTAGTGGGGAAATAGAATCAAAATTGGTTGACTTACCTCTGAAATCATTGGTCCACCTATTTGCTTCATTAAAATGAACATCCCCTCCTAAACCTTGGCCTGGTTGAAAAGCATGAGCGAGGATTTTTCCAGGTCCATCAAAGGGTGAATTGTCATTATGATCTACAAGAAACAGAATTCAAGAAAGACCCCTCTTGGATCTTGTTCAGGCTACCCGTGAAGGCCAGCATTGCTTTGTTAAGAGGCAACAGACTTCCATCAGTGGTGATCCAGTTTCCCTCCTTAAACCTATAAAACGAACACTCCTCCTAAAGAAGGAATGCCAGCTGCAGAGCTGAGGAAGCTCAGAAGCAAGGTGAAGTGAGACAAGAATATTTGCAGAATACAAGAAGAGCTTACCTCCCCAGACAAAGGATATCATTATGTCTGCCTGACCCTCAGAGACTTTGGTGAACTTCAGGGGTGAGACATTACTCCAGAGTTGAAAGGCTTTCTCAATTACATGGTCCACATCTGCACGAGGCAAATCGGGTGTGTAATTTTCTATCCTTAAAATGAAACAGGAGAGAACTAAGATAAGCTAGGCCTTATTTCTTCCCACTGCGATGAGAAATGGCATTGACATTCTGCTGTTCAGTCTGCTTACTTGTAGGTCAGGTGTGTTTTCTCCCACCGAGGGTGTCCTTCAGTGATGACAAACTGAGCCACATCAGGCACCCCACATCTGGGCTGCATCATTACCTTCAGAGTTTCAGCATCCGGCTTCCCAGTCACCTTCAGCCCATAGAATTCCTGCATTTGCTTCAGCTTTTCAACCATTTTGCTGTCCTTTACCCTTTTATTGTGGCCCCCAACATTCTTCAGGTCATAGTAATTTTCCAGGTATTTCTGGTAAAAGAGAAAATTGTTGAAACACTGGAGGGAAAATCTTTCTTATTTAAAAAGCATAATTGACAGTATAAAGTTTTAGCTGAATCAGAGAACTACTTTTAAAGTTTGTGTTTAGATTTCAAAATACTTATTATCTTTATTAAGAAGCTCTGGTGGTACAGTGCCTAAGGCATTTGACTACTAACCAGAAGGCTGGTGGTTCAAACCCATCAGCCACTTCATAGAAGGAAGATGGGGCAATCTACTTCCATAAAGATTTACTACCTTAGAAACCCAATAGGAGTCACTGAGTCAGAATTGACTTGATGGCATCGGGTTTGGTTTTTGGTATTATCTTTATCATTAATGAAAAATGCAGATTCACAGTAGACATCTCTGCTATTTGTTATTAGAAAGTAGGAATTAGAATGTATAGAACCAGATTTGCATACTGCTCCTTTCAGTGTCTCTTACTTCCAATTGGAAAAGTAAGGTCTATACCTGCTAGATAGGAGCTCTGGTAGCAAAGTGCCTAAGGCACTTGACTGTTAACCAGAAGGCTGGTGGTTCAAACCCACCAGTCACTCCTTGGAAGGAAGATGGGGCAATCTACTTCCATAGTGATACTGCCTTGGAAACCCAAGGAGGGGTCGCTATGAGTCAGGTACAACTTGACGGCACAATAACAACAACAACAACAACAACGCCTGCTAGATACATTTTTGAGAAAGATGCTGTTTCTCACAAACATACACAAAAAGCTTCTTTTTAGAGGAAATGCATCCTTAAATAAACTCCTTTATACTCTATGGGAAAATTCATACCATTTCTTGCATGTGAAATTCAATACTTACCTGGACCATCTCCATATCTTTCTTTTGTATTTCTGAAGTTGCTGGGAAGAATTGAGACTCTGTGCCCCAGAGCAGCAGCAGAAGCAGAGGAAAGCTGGGCATGTTGACCATTGTCTTCCTTCTGGGTGCAAGATGACAAGTGGTTCCCCACTCACCTGCTACTTTAGGATGTCTGCCTGTGAGCTCCTTATTTATGTAGAAGTCTTGCACTTCCAGAAAACCAAAGAATGTGTGATTTACCTCTGATAACATCTTCATTTACAAAGTGCAATCTCAAAATTCATCAGAAATTGTGGCATAAAGCAGATTAATCTTGTTTGCCTTGCAATCTCATGATTATGCTCATAAAGGACATCAGTCAAGAGGCCCACTCCAATCCACACAGTTGTATTCTCTTACAATCTCTGTGCTAAGTGGCTCTTACTATGTACACCATAATGTGTAACTCAAAAAGTACTCCATGGACTTTTTAAAAATTGGACTTTCCTAACTGATTCTACTAGTCCTTAACTTTCGCAGGTTCTATATACATTTCTTTCATAGCAGAAGAAGGATTACTTGGCAGTATATGGACTACTTCTATTCTTTTACCCTACAAACCGAGAATTTACTTTACAGAGAGCTAGCCAGCTCTTCCATTTGTCAAAGTATTTCCCCTGCTTTTTAAAGCTTCTTGATATAATTTGTTTTGATAGCAATCATATCCCTTGCAAATCACAAAGCACCTTAGCATAGAGAATATTGACCATGAATCCACCCTGGTACCCGGAACAGGTGTTAGATATTTTATCCCTTAGTTTGGATCTTGTTTTCTCTGGTTCATGGAACATAGAAGGTGTGTTTCCTGAGAGTTGTGTGGAGGGGCATAGATAGATACATGTCAATAGGCCTGAGACTAAGATATCACTTTTTGCCACACTTGGTCCTGGCTATTTGGACATTTTTAATGCATTGGGCTAGTCTGCAATTTGTTTTCTTTAATTCCAAAGATACTTGCATAGTAGCTCCTGTGTCTCAGTTCCTAAGGTGGGAAAGGAGAGATGGATTAGTAAATTATTCATAGTACCATTAGTTTGTGCTTTAAAAGTTCCTTTTTTTTTTTTTTTTCCTAAAGTGCTGCATCTACATGGAAGGCAGCGATAGCAATTTCCCAGGAGATCCTGGACAAGGAGAGACAGTAGAGTTAGTCTGGCTCTACGTTTCCTGGACTTCTTTAACCCTATTTCCTGAGGTATGTACCCACTTTAATATCTTTGCATATTTGCTTCTAAATGCACTTACTTTAAAAAAGGTAATCTTATTCTAAGCAACAATATCTGTGAAAATATGAGTATTATTTCTAGTTCATATCCATTCATATATATGAATATTAAAAATGAACATTGTAATACATAAAGTTACTTTCTGTGTCACTGAAGGTTTGTGTTTCACACTTTAGGAAAAAATGTTCGAGTCCTTTGGCTACTTCTCCCATTTTGCTGCACAAGCCTCTTTCCTTGAGAGCATGAACTTTTCACACAGAGTAGAGAGAACATTCTTTCTGATTTTTTTTTTTTTTTTAAGATGCTGCTGTTATGTTGGGTCTTGATGACCTGAAGTGTCCCATGTATGGGATTGAGATGTGGGAGTTTTGGGACTTTAAAACTGATACTTTACTAGCTCCCCAACTGGAGCACCAAATACTTAGTGTCTTAAACATTCTGGATCAGATTTTTCCAAGAAGATGAACTGTTCTTCCATCTAAAGCCCAGGATCCCTTTAGCCAATCAAGCAGCTCACTAAAAGCACAGTTGATCTGCATCTAGAAAGCTTGTTTTTTTTTTTTTTTAAAAAAACAGGCAAAGGGAGGGAGTATGAGATGCAAAGCAAAAGAAACCACCACATCCACAACCATGAAAAAACAAATACCAACAACTGACATAAGATACAGCTATTTCCAGAATCTATTGACCTCCTTCTCTTCTCCATCCTCCTAGATTTACTAGCTAACTCCATGCCGTGCCCTGGTCCATTTGTGGGTGTTGAATAATTGATGCAGGTGTGAGATGTAGCCCCCTTAGGATTCATAAGATCCAGTCCTCCTTGCTTGTCATGATAAATGTGTTTTTCTTGCCAAATATTCTGGTTTCTCTCCAGTGCACCTGGTCTCTAGCCTTTTCCAGAAGAGGTTGCAACATGTCTATCACAGTTTTACCTTGGGAGCAGCTGCACCTCAGAATCAAGGAAAAGATAAATAGTAGAGATCATACAAAAGTCTAGTTTACTCCCACCTTCTGTCTTCCCTCTCATTTTACAGATGAGGAAACTGAGGACCATTGCAGATAGGACTTGACTTGGTGGGCTGTTGGGAGAACTGGTCCAGAAATCAGATTCCTCAGTCCCCTTTTGGGGCTTGCCCATGAGAAAGCCTCATGCTAGGGTGCCCTTCCTCCTTGATCTCCTATATGACGATTCCCTAAGAAGTTCTCTATGCCAAGGCAAGAGCTTCTGGACTTGAATAGGAAGAGCCCTGGGCACAGCCCTGCAGAGCAGCACTGCCAGCCCACAGATAAGCCCAAGGGTGGGTGATCTTATGGTAGTGCTAATGGGTGGCCAGAGAGCTAGCTAATCCCCTCCTACCTCAGCATACCAGGCAACAGCAGCTCCAGTATCAGGGTCCCTACCCCAACTAGGGGTTAGTATATAATTTTTAGAGGACTCTGGTGTCCTATACCTAGTTGCTGAAGTGATCTTTACTAAGTGTTTAAAAAAAAAAAAAAAGCTCAATTTGTGTACTATTCATGCAGAACAGAGTATGAAGAACTAACTGAGTAATACCTGCACCCTTTAGTTTGAAAGGTAGTGAGGAAGACAAAAGCAGCTCCTGACAACTGGGAGCTGGCTGGCACTCACAGCAAGGCTAAGGCTTTCTCTGTGGAACATAAACAATTTTATGAAAGATTAATGTCAATGTTACTCTGTAACCTTGAGCATAGAGATGAAAATAAGGCCACTCTGTAATCATGTCTGAACACAGACAAAAAAAACAAATATTGTCCAAACCATAAAAATGACCCAACATGTATCCCCCTACCCTGGATAACAAAAGTGATTGCAGCTGCTTCACCAATCGCACCTTTGGCTTAGTTCTTTATCCTCATCTTCTAGATACAAATTGTTGAAGTACCCAATCATGAAATTACTCCTGCTGTCTGGCAGTATCCAATCCAGAGCAAAGCCTTGCTTCCTGAATTCGCCTCAAAATCACCTACTCACTGCCACAGAGTCAGATCCAACTCATAGCAACTCCTCCTTGGGTTTCCGAAGCGGTATCACTATGGAAGTAGATTGCCCAACCTTCCTTCTGAAGAGTGACTGGTGGGTTTGAACCACCAGCCTTCTGGTTAGCAGTCAAGTGCCTTAGGCACTACTCCACCAGAGCTCCTAATACAAGCCCAAATCCTCTAATTCCTTTCTAACTTCTCTTCTAAACAATAATATTCATGAAAATATGAGTATTGTTTCCAATTCAAATCAGTTTATTTGTATGAATATTAAAAATGAGCACTGTAATATATAAAGTTATCTTCTGTGCCATTGAAGGTTTGTGTTTCACACTTTGGGAAAAAAATGTTCTAGCCCATTGGCTACTTCTCCCATTTTTCTGCACAAGCCTCTTTCCTCGACAGCATGAACTTTTCACACAGAGTAGAGGGAACATTCTTTCTGAATTCTTCTACTTCCTCTTCTTTGGCCAGTGTCTCTCCTCTTTTTCACCAAGTCATTTTGATTTCACAGACTCCTGGAGGTATCTTATCAAGTGACCTGATGTTACCTCTACATGATATACATGATATGAATGTTCACATAGACTTTCAACATATGATGGGTAAGAAATTATTGTTCCCTCATTAATTTATTGTTTAACCACAACTTCCTCATGAAAATGGAGTAATACTTGAGGGTAAGCAAAAAAAAAGAGAAGTAAATGAATTTCTGAGGAAAAACAAAGTCTTGTGTTTCACACAGGGCTGCTGGCTGTTTACACAGGGAAATTAGGAAAAGAGGTATTTTCTAGGCAAGGTTGAATCTAGGCCATGTTTTCCTAGACAAAATGAAGCAGAAACTGCGTGATCACTAGGGAAGACATTCCCTGGGTATGTAGTGGTTGTCATCTCTGTTCTCCTGACTTCCCTCCAAGGATGACCAGGCTCATTCTGCAACACTGGAACAGGAAGTGGGACACTTCATGAACTCAGAAGACCACTATTATGTTCATTGAGAGGGAGAAGAAATTTCCTTTGACTTTTTTCTTAATAATGACTTATGTGATTAAAAATCTGTAGATTTTCAAGTATAGTGCTTGGGAACTTTTTTTTTTTTTCCAGTCTAAGATTGTTAGACTCAGTTTTGTTGCATTGCAATAAAGTTGCAGTGAGTTAGATTTGTTTTATTGTGGCAAATATATATACATTTCCCATTTCAAAAATCTTCACATATGCAATTCAGTGACATCAATTGTGTTCATTGTGTTGTGCAACCTTCACCATTCTTTTATTCCCTGTTTTTTTCATCATCTTTAACAGGACTCAGTGTTTCCCTAGCAATAAATTCTCTTTTACCCCATCCGCTTCCCTAGGTAAGCTAATGAACTGTATACACTGGCCTACTCTAGATATATAAGTGGAATCACACAATATTTGTCCTTTGTGACTGACTTCAAATTTTATTTGTTTATTTTATTGTGCTTTCTGTTAAGATTTCCATGGCAAATTATTTTTTTCAATAAATAGTTCATATACAAATTGTTCTGTGACATTGGTTGCAACCCCTGTAAAGTGTCAGCGCTTTCCTTGTTTCCTCCTTGGTTTCCCTACTTCTTTTTATTTTATTTCCACTGCATTTGCAAATACGTATGTAGAAATATCCACTGCCATACATATATATGTATGCAGGTGTACTTATTTACTACTTTTTTTTAACTTATTTAACATATGTATTTACCTATATATCCACTGGGAGCTCTGGTGGTTAGTGCCTAAGGCATTTGACTGTTAACCAGAAGGCTGGCAGTTCAAACCCACCAGCCACTCCTTGGAAGGAAGATTGGGCAATCTACTTCC